GGGGGATTTGGTACTTAACTTGTGGCATGCCTGCCAAAAAGGTTAGCCACCACTATTCTAGCGGAAGCTATTGGGTCCTGGAAACATCCTAATGGAAGCAAAGTTCAACCGGACCACATGTTTATAAATAGAGAATTATCCATTTGATAAAAAATGCAGTCTATAGTACTCTTGAACTGTGCTCACTGGGTCACTAAATAAGGAGCATTTACATGCAATTTTCTCTCCAAACTATCTTGCAGAGGGATCCGTCCAGTGGTGGCCTTAGGGGATGGCAAACCAGGCAACTGCCCAGGGCCCCACATTTTAGGGGGGCCCAAAATTGTGCAACAAATGTCAGAATTGCTTATAGGTCATCAAAACTAAGCTTTTAAGGGGCCCTAAATGACTCTCTTGCCCAGGGCTCCAATGCCCCTAAGGCCACCACTGATCCTTCCTCACATCCCTTCTTCCACTGGACAAGGTACGTAGATGGAGAACCTATACAAAAATTCAGAGAGATTCCAGACACTGCTTTTAAATCTCAAATCATCTCTGTCCACGCAGAGAAACCATGGTATTGTGCAGGCTGTCAAAAGTGCAACCTGTTAACAGAAGTCTTCTCCATCCTAACTGCACAGAAAGAAAGGAAGATCTATTGAACGGGTAGGAACAGCCAGGGATTTGTGCAATTGCAAAAGACAGCCAGAGACTTTCTTGCCCAAATGATCATTTAACAGAAGCTTATAAATGGGGTAGTAAAGCTATGAGTCAGTGAACCTGTGAAGAACTGGAGAAGTTCCAAAAAAATAAGATCGGTGGAGGGCGTGTGCAAGAAATCCAGAATTCTGACTGGAATCCAATCAAAATGCAGAACTGAAAGAAAAAAGATGGTGTTTCAATATCAAACCAGAATGAACTTTGAGAAGGATGGCGACACTCAAAACTTTCAGGCCTAACTTAATACTAACAGTGAACAGGTCACTGTGGAGAACATCTCACCGTGTTTTGAGGGATCTTCCCGTCACTGATAGCCCAATAAACTGAACAGCTAAAAGGGGAAAAGACCTCCAACGACAGCCTGCCTACAGAAGTCCTGTGACATTGCAATGAAAAACTAACACATTTTCCCCTACATGTATGAAACAAAACTGTGATTGACGCCTCATCTTCAGAACAGGAGGTAAGTGGCCTAGTAGTAGTCCCAAGACCAAAGAAAGGACATGAGGTTAATATAAACAAGTACGGCGGTATCTCTCTTCTGTCACTACCATTGAGCAAACAGGATACTGTTAAACAAGACTGAGCTCTTTGTTACGCCTCTGTTAGGATCTACCAAGCTGGGTTTCACATTTTCCCATGTGATCACCCTACCTATGACCATCAGTTTACTGGAGGACAATATACAGGCTGCCTGTCTGTTTGCCCTTGTCATGGATTATGCATTCAGTCAAACTGCTTGATCATTTGATTGCCAAGTAGATTCCTTTTCCATGTCTTACAAAACCAGCTGAATTGTGTTCACCATCGATATCATTCTGTTTGCTTCTTACCTTAATTCTTCACGGAGGTACCTAAACAACTGGATGAAAGCAGCATGCAACATAGGCCCAAGGGTGGACCCAGGTGGGTGGAGCCTCCCTGACACTTGGCACCCCTCCTTTCCCCTCTGTGCTGGTGAGACGTCCCTTCCCCACCTATTCCCCCTCTCAGCCTCTCCACTTACTCCTCTGAGCATAGGAAGCGCTTGGGGAGATCTGTCTACTCCCACCACCACTATCTCAGCTGCTCCAGCACAAGCAGGGATGTTCCCTCTCCCTGCCCCTGCTCCGAGGACGTCAGGTAACACCAGCTGAAGCAGGGAGCAGTAGTGCTGGAGTTCCCCTACCCCCCACCCCCGGATCAGCCAGAGCCAGCAACAGTGGCAAGCAGGAGAGGGGAGGAAACAGGAGGGCAAGGAAGGTGCCCCTGCTCACAGAAGAGGGTGCCAAGAGTAGGGATGAGGGGGGTTTGCCTACTTTCAGGATTTAAAGTCCCCAGCTGCTGTTCCTGTGATCAAAAAAGGGATCACCATGATCCAAAAGGGGGTGCTACCATGTCACTGCACCCCTCTGGATCTGTCCCTGGGTCAGCCTTAAACTGAGCCTGTCCCAAATGCAATCCATGATGAATTTCAAGATGCAATTCGTGATGAATTTCAAGTACTTGGTCTTTGAAACAGGCAACATTGACACTGACTTTCAACACCAAAACAAAATTCCCTGAAACTCTGTTGCCACAAATCCATGCAAAAAAACACAAAAACTGGTGAAGAGAAATAGTTTGCTTTCAATCAAATTAAGTCCCTTCAAAGCCTCTGGTTGGGACATCTTCTTGCCCCAGTCCCAAACAAGGCAGTTATTGATAAAGAAATTGTCTCCAAGCAATACTTTGCCCACTATTCATGTCTGTACACCACACTGGAGCATGGGCAGGTTTAAGCTCAGCTGCTCCAGGAGTTCACAAAGGAAGCCCCAGCCTCACATTGTAAAATGAAGAGGCTCAATGGTTAGGCTACCATCTTCACTTACAACATCTGCCATACTTTGCAGTGCTTGTTCTGTATGCTCCCACGGCCAAAGCGATGAAAAGGACACCCCAAATGACATTCTGAAATTCAGACCACCCTCCCTCTGCAGCAGAAATTTTTGTAGAAAACTATGACCCAAAGTGATGGACCATCATTCAGATGAAGTTGCCAATCAGATAACACTTGTTCATCATGACAATGACAATAGTGAAGAGTGATAAGGTCAATACAGAATATGCTACCAGATGGGAGAGGAGTTGTCTAGGTAAAACCTTTAACCAGACTAGAAACACGCTGCAGTGTCAGAGGACCTTGTAATTTGTAGCAAGCTTTTACAGATGCAAAAGACTTTGTTTCTGAATATGCATCCAAGAGGAATCAGAAAACTTTTTAGAGCCATCTACCGTGACTTAAGTTTTGTGATGTCATAAACATTTGAGAGACTGCTGTTGGTGTCACTGAAGTCATCAAATAAACGGGAGTATAAACTAGCTAACCCTGAACCTCACTCTCTCTCTGACTTTCACAACAGCTTCAATTTAATTAGCACCTTATCACACGGAGACATCTCAAGGCACTTTATTAAAGATGTACAGTTATACAATCTGCAGGGCCAAGGTAACAAATGAAACCATGTAAAAAATTACAAACACAACCCCCAAGAAAAGCTTCCACTTAGATTTATAGAGCAAAACAATGGCAAAGCACAAAATGGGCCAGATCCACAGGTGGTCTGACACCTTCCGAGAGGAGACTTTTCTTTTACAAGTGACATTATATCTTTGTATTTTCACAAATGGGAAACTGAAGTAAATAACTGAGGAAGAAAGCCCAAAAAACAAAGTCTTTTTATGGATGTTTCATAAATCATGTCTTCTGACATTCCATTTATATGCCAATCAGGGGACAAACAGTGAGGGAATATTATACATATGCTGTAAAAATAATTAAAAATCCCTTTAATTACTCTCATTGAATGTCTCGCCTGTGGGTCAAAGAGTAGTATAGTTCAAGTCCCACAGTAGGTAGTAGGATCATACACCATGTTGGAGCAAAAGCATCAGACTAAAGAGGCTGCCTTTAAACATGCCGTCCTTCAGATGAGAAATTAAATAAGGGTCTAATTTGCATTTCTCATGGTTGTCCAGGTGGATGTTAAAGATCCCATGGCTCTCTTCAAACAGCACTGGGGATAACCCCAATGTCTTGGCCAACATTCCCCTACTCAATAAAACAGGTTTTAATGTCCCAAGTTGGGAATCATTGCCAAACACAAAATAGCTGTTATGTTTCTCTAAAGAATTATTAAGTTGCTCTGTGGGATAAATCTTGAAGTCATTTCACCTAAGACTTCCAAACACAGGTAAATACCACGGTTACCAGTACCTAATTCTTTACCTTATAAAATTATCATTTCAGGAAGGCATTCATATTTAGGACAGCATTTAAAATATGCTTCAATTAAGCATTGAAGTCTATGGGAAGTTAACCAAAGCTAATAGAGATTGACAGGGCTTACATACAGACCATTAATGGTAAGCATGCGCTCCAATGCTTGTCTGAATCGCAGCCAGAATGATTAGAGATACCTCGAATAGGATTGCAATAGGATTGATTATCTATAGATTTATTGTCTAGTGTCTATTGACTGACTATCCATCATCTACTGATTATTTGTCTCAACAGTGCTGCAAATCCTTTCCATCATGAAATACATAACTATCAGCAACCAACTTAATTTAAATTGAATTTAATTATTTAATCATTTTATTATTTATGGTGTATCCAGTGGATACAGTAATACAAAATTAGTTTTATAGTATTAAACTTTAATGAACTTTTTAAAAACTTTTTTATAGGGAAACAGAAAGTTCAGTGACACTGAAAACACATTTCAAAAGAAGATTATGAGGCTGCTGCATGATTTAAAACAAGAAAAAAATCAAAACCTCAGGTGCATTCTCAATGCATATTAAAATTATACATTGCAAAATATCTCAAGAAAGAAAGCTTAATCTGATTTTTGTGTAAACAGTCAGTGGCAAATGAGCACACAGTATTGGATGAACTTTCAAGGCAACGGCCAGAGGACATAAAAAAGCAGCAAATGATCTTTTTCTGCATGTGTGTGTGTATGCACATGCGCGTGTGTGTAAATACACACATCATTATATATAGTAAGTAACCTCTCTATAGATTTGTGTGCACACGAGCAAGTGTCTTTCACCAACTCCTGCAAATACATATTTCAATATAGATAATTCAATATACATAAAATTGCACTATACAATTGGGCCAAAGCATATTGTATTTTTGCCTGACCTTCACTGGTCAGGTTCATAGGATAGTTCTTTCAAATCCATGTTTCCCACTCTTAAAATGCTCTCAAAGCTCCTGATAAGAAGCAAAACCTCCTGGTATGCTGATTTACAGAAAAATAACTCCTGGACATCATTTTACATGCTTTCCACATCACCATATTAGATTCTGTTCTCATGGGGAGAGATCTCTCTAAACCTAAAGTGTATTTTAGTTGAGAAAGAGGTACTGGACTGCCAGCTTTTGAAATATCCAGCAAGCTATTTTCGTCATGCCTTGGCATGCAGGGGGAATGGGGACACCAAATTTAAAGAACTTGTCAAAGCTCAGAATAATTTGTAAAGTGAATGGAAAGTGCCCTTGACAGTAAGAAGCTCCATGCCTTGTGTAGTAAAATAAATACTAAGTGGAAATTCCAAATTTCCTCATGGCCCCCTAGTCAGGGATTTCTGGACAGTTCATCCTGCACATCTGCACCACGTTTGCCCCGTCTTCAAATGGCATCACTAATGCCCCACCTTTGAGAGGCTTGAGATCTTTGGAAGAATCTGAACAAGAACTAATTCTCCTCTTCTCATCATCAGTACCAACGCGCCTTGTGCTGAGCAGTCCAGCTACATATTCGTTATTTGTACCATGTAGCACACGAAGTAACTAACCACGACTGGGATCCAACTGTCACAGGCACTGTATGGATGCAAAATAAAAGAAGTGTGAATTTGCAAAGCCCTGATGGTGTTACAGTCTAAACCAGCGGTTCCCAAACTCTGACAGATTACACACCGCCAATTTAAAACAATATAACCTTACATACCACCAGCTGGGTTGTGTGTGGGGGGAGCATAGGGTATGTTGGGGGGTTGTGCATATGTGGGGGGTTGTGAGGGAAGGGTGTGGGTGTGTGAGGTTTGTGGAGTGTGAGGGTGTGGGGACCCCCCGCACTCCTCCCATGGTGCAGCAGCAGGCAGGGGTGCTCAGGACACTCAGGGCACCCAGTGGGGTGCAGCTCCAGCCAGCGCTGCACATCACAATGAGGGGTGCATCCTCCGCTGGGCAGTCTGTATCACTGGCACTCCCCGCACTCACTGGGCATGGGAGGGAAGCCCTGCATGCTGAAGCCAGCTTCATTCCCTGCCCTGCAGGAGAAAGCACCTGGGGCTTCCCTCCCACTCTGCACAGCCCCAGCAGGGAAGGCAGATGGCTCCAGCACACAGGGCTTCCCTCCTGTGCCTGGTGAGCGCGAGAGTTGCACATGCATGCCAGGGAGCACTGGCGATACAGATGGCCCGGCAGAGGCTGAGCCCCTTACTGCGATGTGCAGCACTGGCTGGAGCTGCACCCCGCTGGGCACCTGCACCAGGCACAAGTGCCCCGAGTATCCCTGCCTACCACTGCCGTGTACCACTGACAGGTTGTCTGCATAGCATTGGTGGTACGCGCACCCCAGATTGGGAACTGGTGGTCTAAACAAAGAGCACAGATCACAGAAGCACTACTCACCTCCATATTCAGACAGGAAAATGAAGGCATTGGAAGTTTCTGCCAGAGTGAAAATTTGAACTTATCATCTCCCGAGTCCCAGACAGGCTCATACCTGACTTACAGAGCTGGTAAAACATACAAACTGATCCAAAAAATTTCCCTCAAACTGTTTTTTCTCCTCACATAAAAAAATGATATAATCAGAAAAGTGTTTTTGGCCCTAACCCAAAATATTTTGGGATTTTTCTGTAATAGTTTAGTTTCCAACCTTTAAAAAAAGTCAGGATTTTTTAATGCAACATTTCAACAAAATGAAGAGGATTCCTTTTTTGCTAACATATTTAATAGAAACATAATCTGATTTTCTGAGCAGATCCTCTTAGACTTCCTGGGATCTAATAGGAAATCTGGTTCAGGCCTGAGAGCAACTATAGGATTGTGGCTGTGTCCAGCTCAATCAAGACTTAAAGAAACCAAGTGGTAGATCTTCTGCTATCATCCTGTAAGACATTTTTTTCCACGTTCTAAAACCCTACTTAAAAAAATGCCTTCTGCTTGCTCTTATCCGATGACCTGTAATTTGAGTTTGTCTTTCTATTTCCTTTTCTTGTTAAATCTTTCCTAAGTCAGCAGGTGCTTGATGGGCCATTCAAAATGATGTTTATCGTTTTTGTCATAAGCGTCTGATTTGAAATACTCTGGTAACAATTCATTTAGTTGCTAAAAGACGGCATTGGTTCCAAAAGACTCAGGAGAGAGCAGCCACTTGGGTGGACTACAGAAAAGCCTCTGAAGGAAAGAAAGTGGTAAACACTTGCCAGTCTTTTTAAGCTATAGGTTTTCTCACCAGTGGAAATTAAATCTTATATCTTATGTCTTACAGGGACCATGGAAATGTATTTGTACAACCAACTGAAAATAGAGACACTTGAATTTGACGAAAACACTCACACCTACAGCTAAACAACTAGGACATATTAAAACAATAAATATAACCACCTTGTTTTACATTATTTATCTTGGTTTGAAATGTTACTATTTATTATATGCATTAAAATGGACCTTAAAAGACCCCCAACTAAGATGGAAGACCCGCTGTACTAGACAAAGGACATAGAGAAAAAGGGTTACAAGAAGTCGTTATGGTTTAACTAGACTACAGAGGCAGAAGCAGAGAGCAAGAGGACAAAAAAAGTAAAGTTACTTACCACAAGTCACAAAGTAGCTCAGTGGCAGTACAGTAGAAGCCAGATTATCTCAAATCCCAGTCCAGTACCCAAGGCTTTTTTGGGTGAGCTGCTAGTGCCTTAGCTCTGTGATAATGGTGACACAGGATAGGCGATGGCCACACCCTGGAGCCTGCAAATTGGACAAGAAAAGGAGTGAAGTCTAGTTCAAAGTGACTAGCTTATTGGTAACTGAAACTCTGGTTGTCCTGCTTCTTTATCTGGTTTATGATGGATGGTAAGGATGGTCATCTCTGTCTATCAAGCCTGATTTCTTGTTTTCCATTTCCACCTACTTTAATGGAGTATACACTCATTTACATTCAGTGTCATTTGGAAATTCTGACTACATAATGCCAGTATTACTGCAGAGGGGCAGGACTGGGGTGATATAAAATGGCAGGTAGACTGAACGTAAGACTCTGAGCCTATGCAAGCTGGTGACTCTTCAGAGGATGCACAAGTTTGTGCAAGAGTCCAGAGAAAAAGAATCATAAACCAGCCCGTACCTAGCAAACAAGAAACAGCAGAGTTCCCATGGCCAGCTTACTGGAAGGGAGCCATGCTAAATGAAAAGAGCAAGCAAGCAATTATTTGATGAATCTTACAGAATAGAGACTGTCCAAAATGGTGCTTCATGGCAAGCCTCACAAAGGTGGACATGACTATAGATGTCTATTTTTGCAACCTGAAAGGAGCATTCAGAAAGAATAAGACCCCCAGTAGATTTTCTACCTCTGTGTTGAGATGGAAGACTATTAGAGGAAGGTAAAACACCTCAAAATGCAATCCATTTCCACCTACTTTAATGGAGTATACATTCATTTACAGTCAGTGTCATTTGAAAATTCTGACTACATAATGCCAGTATTACTGCAGATGGGCAGGAAACTCCTTTTATAAGATGAATAGTGCATAACTAATTAGCATTTCACATATTTTTGGCCTTCACTTTAGAAGTATGTAATAACACTATCAACTTCCTAAAGAAGCCAAAGCAGTATTCAAGAGTGAGAATGACTAGCCCCTTTATGGATGACCTTCCCTTATTGGTAACGCATCTCATGATTGCCATTTGTGAAGACTTGGATTCATTCTGTGTCTCACTCAGCAAGTGAAGTTCCCTTTGACCCTTGAATGTATCTGATACCTAATGCCAGCTTTGAGTGGTTATGTTGGTCAGAGAAATGCCACTATACATGCCTTCTTATTCAATCCATCACCACTGAGACTTAACGCGCAGCCCCAATTAGTAAAGTGAATTGATTTCCTTTCCCATGAAAACTTTGGGGTTCCTGAAAGTTTTCATTTGTTAATGCTACCCAGCTTCTCTGTTATTCGTGCAGTTTTCAGAATTCATGTTTTTTCTTTTCTTTAAAATGTTTTTAAGGCCACAAGGGCCAATGTGGTCCCCATTTTCAAGAAGGGGAGGAAGGAGGACCCAGGCAACTATAGGCCAGTCAGTCTCACCTCCCTCCTTGGCAAAGTCTTTGAAAAAATTATTAAGGCTCACATTTGTGAGAGCCCAGCAGGACAAATTATGCTGAGGGGAAACCAGCACGGGTTCGTGGCAGGCAGATCGTGCCTGACCAATCTAGTTTCTTTTTATGACCAGGTTACGAAACGCCTGGACACAGGAGGAGGGGTGGATGTCGTATACTTGGACTTCAGGAAGGCCTTCGATACGGTATCCCACCCCATACTGGTGAACAAGTTAAGAGGCTGTGACTTGGATGACTACGCAGTCTGGTGGGTGGCGAATTGGCTGGAGGGTCGCACCCAGAGAGTCGTGGTGGATGGGTCGGTTTCGACCTGGAAGGGTGTGGGAAGTGGGGTCCCGCAGGGCTCGGTCCTTGGACCGATACTCTTTAATGTCTTCATCAGTGACTTGGACGAGGGAGTGAAATGTACTCTGTCCAAGTTTGCAGATGACACAAAGCTATGGGGAGAAGTGGACACGCCGGAGGGCAGGGAACAGCTGCAAGCAGACCTGGACAGGTTGGACAAGTGGGCAGAAAACAACAGAATGCAGTTCAACAAGGAGAAATGCAAAGTGCTGCACCTAGGGAGGAAAAATGTCCAGCACACCTACAGCCTAGGGAATGACCTGCTGGGTGGCACAGAAGTGGAAAGGGATCTTGGAGCGCTAGTGGACTCCAAGATGAACATGAGTCGGCAGTGTGACGAAGCCATCAAAAAAGCCAATGGCACTTTATCGTGCATCAGCAGATGCATGACGAATAGGTCCAAGGAGGTGATACTTCCCCTCTACTGGGCGCTGGTCAGACCGCAGTTGGAGTACTGCGTGCAATTCTGGGCGCCGCACTTCAAGAGGGATGCGGATAACCTGGAGAGGGTCCAGAGAAGGGCCACTCGAATGGTTAAGGACCTACAGACCAAGCCTTACGAGGAGAGACTAGAGAAACTAGATCTATTCAGCCTCCGCAAGTGAAGGTTGAGAGGCGACCTTGTGGCTGCCTATAAGTTCATCACGGGGGCACAGAAGGGAATTGGAGAGGTTTTATTCACCAAGGCGCCCCCGGGGGTTACAAGAAATAATGGCCACAAGCTAGCAGAGAGCAGATTTAGATTGGACATTAGGAAGAACTTCTTCACAGTTCGAGTGGCCAAGGTCTGGAACGGGCTCCCAAGGGAGGTGGTGCTCTCCCCTACCCTGGGGGTCTTCAAGAGGAGGTTAGATAAGCATCTAGCTGGGGTCATCTAGACCCAGCACTCTTTCCTGCTTATGCAGGGGGTCGGACTCGATGATCTATTGAGGTCCCTTCCGACCCTAGCATCTATGAATCTATGTTTCAAAGTTCAACGTTTAAGCAGAGATCCTAACATTTCTTGGATTATTTTTTGTATTTGTCAGCCCAGAGTCAAAGTTTGGAGGAATGCTGTGTTAGCAAAGGGTTTTTAATACATAGTATTGGGGTTTGGGTTGCATCTGCAGGCAGCAAGTCAGAGAGTCCTTTAATGGTTAGGACGTTGCTTGGGATCAAATTGTATTTGGCTGCCATGAAAAGCACATGACCACAGGAAAATTAAATTAGAGTATTTAGTTGATTTCTGGGGGTGCCCTGGCAGCAAAAAATTACAGTGGGCCCACCAAAGGCTTTGCACTTTTACAATGTTTTGCATGCAAAGGGATGAAACCCAAAAAAAGAATTCTAGATTTTTTAAAATAAAAATAAATGCTGCATCTAGACTTTAAAAGACCAATCAACATTGTTCACACCTAAGCTGCAGGTGTTTGGTGAGAAGGGTCCCCCTTAAGCCATTTAAAAGGTACAGCCAAAAAAAATTAACTCAGCAGCTCAGTCTGCTAAGGTCATTAGTGCCAACTAATCAAACAGATCTCAGTATGGTCAGCACAAGCTCCTTGCAAGGACTTAAACTGATGATGTCACTGCAGCGTTTTTTTCCCTGCTTCCAATTGCCTCTCTGTGATTTACAACACAAATGGAGGAAAATCCAAGCTATAGGGGTCAACTTTACAAAACTAACTCCGTCTTCTGGAGAAGGAGCGGGAGTTTCTTCTGCAGCGCATGCCTATGGACTTTGGAGCTAGTAAGATAATCTTATAGCTAAAGCCCAGAACCAGAAGATCCAAGTTCTATTCCCACTTTTTCCATGAGCTGCCTAGTCAACATTGGACAGGGCCCTAATCTGTCTGTAGTATAAGGATAATAATTCCCTGACTCATAGAGAAGGTAGGAAACGCTAGTCACAACACGTCTACCTTGGGCACTTTGGGGGCATCTTAGATACCCTGTTGCAGTGCAGAGGTATCCATTAATATCCATAAACTCCTTTGGGACCTTTGGAAGATGGAAGATAATAGCTAAAAACCATAAAAAAAACTATTGTTATTGTTCTTACATCAACATACTGTCAGTTAATTTTGAAGCGTTCCAACACAGCTGACAGGAGTGGGTAGAGACAAAAATCAGGTGGGGAAGTTAATATGGCTATAAAAATAAAATAAAACAAGCAAAATGAATAGATTTGAAGCTATGATATAATTAGAGTTGTTCTTATTATCCTTATTACAGTTGCTATCTGTATTCTCTTAGCATCTATTAGTACCTGGACAGGACCCTCTGGTGCAAGGCACTATACAAAGACAATCCCTGTTGCAGGGCTGTGTTGCACAGAACACTTAGCACGTGCTTTAATTAGAGCATAGTAAGAAGTATGAGGACTTACAACTTGTTCTAAGCGGTCGCACAATAATGCTTACTGCAATCTGGACACGGTTGGAGCTGTTTGTGCGGTCAGCAAACAGCAGTTTGTCAGTCTCTGCACCGCCCCAGAGCCAGTGAGGAGCACTAGTATTATCCCTGCGGAACAGTCCCACAGTAGCTCAACACGTTACTTTAAACCATCTGAAAATACCATTATGAAAAGTACTAACTTTGCTATGATAGTATGTTTTACTGCTTGAATGCGTGGTTGCTACCATTTTAAGTGCAGTTAACACATCCCAAGTATAACGTGTGACAAGGCCCTTTGAATACCAGACAAGAGAACATCTAGTCAGATGCCACCTTGATTGACTATAGCTGGACATTTCTTTTCTTGCAGTGAGGATTCAGAAATTAGGAAGTAGCAGATTTCACTGCCCTGTTTCACACCAAGTGGGTCCTTGTTCCCCAAGACATCTTTTGGATTTCACTGGGGATATCAGAGGACTAAAACACCTCTCAAGATACCAGAATCTTGAAAATTAATGACTATATTGTTTTGACTCAAATAACAGAATAGGTTACATGTGATTTTTTTTAAGGCACCGTTATGATCCTTTCTTTGTTTCTGCACGTACTATTGTCTCTGTCCAGATTCATTACAGTAAAGGCATGGAGACTGCAGGTGTTCTGTTGACTTAGGAGTCACCTCCACAAACCTCATCTATGACCACCCAAGGGCATTTTCTGTAGGGAGCCTGAGGATTGTCCCTTGCAAGCTCATCAATGCCATTTCTGAGTCACTAGACTCAACACTGAACTGTGCTGGGCACTCTCTCGCCAGAGGTGCTAACAAGGCCTCCACCACCCATTGGCTCTAGCTGGAGCTCTGAACACTGAGAGGTCAAGTTCAGCAGCTTTTCAAACAGTTAAGAAACTGAGG